TTTGGGAGAATCTCTGTTGGATCTGGAGAGGGGTTCATCAGCAGAGTCCGCTAGCTGCTTCAGCGTCTCACTTCTAGAAATGCACAGACCTTGGCTTTGGGTTTTCCAGCTCTTAGCCCTGAGCTGCTTGGAGGTTCTCTTGGATTCTTCAGGTTTGGCTCGGAGGGACGGCTCGGCAGGTTAGCTCTTCCTGAGCTTCACAGAGGAGACACTGTTTTCCTGGAAGACAGAGACAATGGTTAGAATCCAGGCTGGATTCACAGTCATAAAGTTTCACTGAGGATCTAGGCTTAAGCGCTGACCAACTGGAACAACACTGCGGCGTTGAGGCAAGGTCTGAAGACAGCTTAAGTAGTGGATCCTCTGATGATCTTGATGAGCTGCAGCTGTGCAGGAGGTTCCCTCAGAGGATCCACGGCGGACTCTGCTGGAGAAAGGTGGAACCTCTCCAGCTCCCAACAGTCTGTGCTTCTCGCACAGTTTGTCCTTAGTCACAAAAAATGAAAAGAAAAATCCTTTATCTTTTTTCACATATGTTGCTGCCTGTCTACTCAGTATCAGTTTTTCCAACAAATGTCAAGACAAAGGCAAAGGTGTGGAAACATGTTTTCTTTTTTATGTCTGAATAAATTCTATGAACTTTGTTATGACCAAAGTAAAATTAAATATTGATAATTGATACTGATGATTGAGAAAAGAGTTCAAAAGAAATGCTGTAATATTGTCATTCTTTGGCCACTAGTACTTATGTTGAAACATTAAGGAGTGTAGACTGAAATGGTTTATAATGGTGGCTTATAGAATAAATTAAGGCTTTAAACTGGAATGAATTGTGGCTCACTATTTTTGTGTTTTTTTTATCTATTCATGGCTAATTTCACCTAGGAGAAAAAAAACAACAAAAGAAACTTAAAGAACTAACAATAGTTATAATGAAAAATAAGACTTTGCTATATTGTGGTATTAAAAATGCCAGCTTTATCAGAAAAGTTAAAGAATTGTGTAATGGTAATACTGAGCTGATACCATGTTTTTCTAGAACTGATATGTGCAACAATTCAGTTTTGAAGACTTCAAACTATTTTGTTAAAAAGGAAAAAACGTAAGTCAAACTCGTTAGAGAGCTTAGGGCCAACAGAAGTTATGCTTCAATACAATGCTAGTGATTGCTAAGATTGTCTATTCATCAGTTCATTTAGAGCCATGTGTGTTTCATTATTTTATCAATTTTAGTACCTCCAATCTGAACCTGTTTACAACACATTAAAATCTACTTCTGCAATAGGGTAAACTTGAAATGGTATATTTACCAGTCAATCATTAAGGCCCCGTCCACACGAAGCCGAACCCTGGCCTAAATGCACAAATTTTTCACCAAACCAGCCTCTCATCCATACGAAGCCGGCGTTTCGGGGGTCTGTAAACTATCTTTTTTTTATTCAGCCTTCAGAGTGGGAAGATTTTGAAACGCCGTTTTCGCGTTTCCATCTTTAAGCTCTAACCGCATTTTTTTTTCTCACGCATGCGTCATAGCGTCGCCTCTAAACACGCATGCGCGACACAGTATCACAACAACAATGGCGCCGTACTGTGTTGAATGGTTGCTGCTCATGCTACTCACCCTGCTGTCGGGCTTACAACAGAATCTTCTTCTTCTGGAATATCTCCAGGAAGAACAGAGCAATATCGACAACATAGTTCAGCACCTGAATTTGACTGAACCACGAAAATGGACCTGCAGGGCAACCATGTATAAATATTAGTGCGCATGCCCAACATTTCGTCGCCTATTTATGCTTTGGCACGACAGCGTCACTTACAGGCCTTGCATACATTTTGCAGTGTTTTCATGCATTCGTGTGGATGATCACATTTATTTTACGTCTCCGTCTTTACGACAAACGTTCTGGAAATATTAGCGTTTCGTGTTCGTTTTGACTTCGTGTGGACGGGGCCTAAATCTAGTGGGGTGGTTAGGAATCGTAAGGATGGAATATTTACTGGAATGATGTGAAATAATAAATACAAATACATTTGTTTGTTTAACTCACACTGTTTTTCTAAGCCACAAAAGAAATAACAAAAATATTATAGTGGAATAACAAATATTTACGTTTTCCTCTCTGATCAGCCTCTTTCTTTCCAGTTCATCAACTGCCTCCTCACTCTCTGTCTCCTTTGACTCTTCTCAGTGACTCCCATTGCTGCCTCCCCAATGAATCACCTCTGTTCATATAATCTGTATAAAAAATATAATTTCTTCCCAGCATTATTTTCTCTTAAGAGCCCTTCTAAATGGGGGTCAGAATACTAGATAAAACCTTGACAAACAGTGAACCCCAAAAAACAAACAAAAAACAAAACACATGCAATCTTATATTTGTCTTTAATGTTTTTTTTTCTGCTTCCAGTATGTTATAATCACCAGATATTGAATAAAACATTTAATATAAAATATGGACAAAAATAAAAAATAAGTCTCAAAAAATTATTAAGGTTACTATTTGGATTTTGATATTCGAGGCCATTAATGTGATTTTACAAATGAAAATATCTTTTCAGAATTCAAACCAGCACAGGTCAGGGACGTTTGTAACAAACTTTATTTAAAAACACTCAAAGAGTGAGGGTTCGAGGGCGTGCTGCGCGCTCCTAAGCAGGAAACCTCTTGTAGCAGAGACAACAGGTCAGTGATCAGCTGATAGTAATGGGCAAGAGTGAGAGACACTGTATCACTAACCTGATTGCGGGGCTACTGAGCCTGGAGAACTGACTAGATGTCGGAGAGCAGGTCCGGTACTGGGATGCGACTTGGTCCGGGGCTTTGGGGGTTAATTGTTGGCGTGGCCAACAGGCAGGCAGGCAGGCACTCCGTTCAGGGTTATCCAGGGGCGTTATCCAGAGGGGTCCGGGGTCCATACACAGAGAGGCAGATATCCAGCGGCAGTACAGGTAGTTTTATCCGAGAGGAGGTCCAAGTCCGGTCCAGATCTGATAATAGGCAGGCTTAGAGATTTCACAAGGGTTAGGGAGAATCCGGTACTCACAGGCGGGCAGGGTCAGTTTAATGGGAGAGCAAGGTGTGATGATTGGTGGATCAGACCAGCAACAGAGCTGAGATTGTCACAGCTTTATTAGACAGATAGACTTAGCTAAAGATATAGATAAAAAGTTCCTGAAGAATTAGTATTGTGATTGGCGGTGTTTCTGATTTTGTTACATTACATTTTCACACAAGTATCTGTACTTTCTATTCCTTACATTTTTTAAACAAATGTTTCTCGTTATTCTTGGCTTCGGTTTAAAGCTACAGTGTGTAATTTTCAGCGACATCTAACGTTCAGACTGCAGACCGCAGCAACATGAACATCTCCCCCCCACCGCTTCTCCCCCCCAACAGTACGGCGAGCGTTATGGGACAAAATGTCTTCCACGACGTCCGCATCACCTACTTTCTCAAGTGAGGAGGTTTGTTTACATAGATAATTTTACATATAGTATTTCATTAGTCTGTGTGTTCAGTACCGTCTCAGTTCATCTCTCTCAACTTGCCGTAGTTACTTTCGAGCGTAATGGGCGATCTCGCAATCACTAGTTTGTTTGCTCTGCGTTGCCGTAGCGCTAAGATGTCTGCCTCCATGGCTGCGAGACCCGCTCCTATGTAATTATAAATAACGAATTCTAAGGCAACGCAAATATTAAGGTTAAGAGGCTGAGCTCGTAGATGATGATAAATAACATAGTTATGTATAATATATTACATTTCTGACTGTATATCCCTGTAATTATTACACACTGTAGCTTTAATGCAGAGGTCACATATTAGCGGACCGCAGTCCTGATCCGGACCCAACCTGATTTAAAACATTTATAAATTACCGCATGTTGTCTGACACAGTGTCTAAATGTCACTTGTGCCGCTTCCAATTACCCCGAAATCCCACATCTTCCGTCTCCGCTCTGCCCCGCAGAGCTCCAGACCTCCTGCTCAAGGTAAAGCCTACTGTATTGCTGCGCTCAGACTTATCCTTAGAGTTCAGGGAGAGCATGCGGGATATTATAATTAAATTTGTAGGACTAAAACATGCAGAAATGTATGCTTAATTTAATGACATTAAAAAAATCCCCATCACTATCCAGCATATGTGCGGTTTCTGATCAAGATGAGAAATCTGCTTCCTGGGATGTTGAAGTACCAATAGGTTGCATCTAATCTTTTAAATAAACAGTGTTGGTAATTTAAAATAAAGAAAAATTATGCTCTAATTTGTAGTTACCAATCTGTTGTTACTATATTTAATTTGACAAACTGGATCTTCTCGCCGTTCTTTTTCCTGTTTGGTGTGATTGCTATTGCATATCTTGAACTTGCCGGACCGGAGTGGAGCCTTTCTTAAGGGGGGGGACGCGTTCATCCGGTTCAATTTGCATGTTTTCTAAGCCAAAACAAGGCTTTGTTTTTGGTCCACTCATTAAAACCTCGAACTCAACACCATTTTTTCGGACATTTTGAATTTAAAAAGCTTCCTGGATGGGAAGCGAAACATCTTCAAACTTGGAAACAAAGTTGAGTGGATTGCTTTTCTAACTTTTTGGAATCTCTGTGAAGAATTTGTGTTACACTTTGCTCTTTAAAACGTGTTTTATTCACTGTAAATTGTTTCTTAAGATCAGTAAATTAGTTTAAATTGATAAGTTTATGATCCCTTTAACTAGTTATTACTTTTCAGGTAGAAGAAATTTAGACACATTAAGTCACATGTTTCAGTAGCTTTATCATATTGTCAGTTAGATAAACAGAAATGATCTAATATACCTAACCCAGATTTTTACTGGGGAATAAACAGGAAATACCCTGCAATTATATTGATTCTATGCAGATACTGTCTGTTAATGTTTCAGGATGCACTAACCAATCACATAATCTCAGTTAAGGGAGACTCCCCTTTTGTTGGATATATAGTTAAGCAGTCTACCATCTACCTCACCAGACCGATTCCACTTAGCCATTTAAACCTCCCAGACTAAGACTCTTCAAGACTACACAATGATGCGGCTCCTCTTCCTGTTTGCTTTGACTCTGCCTGCTGTCACTCCCTCACATGGACAGGAACAAAAGCTTCTGCGTGGCGGCTGTCCCATGTTCTGGTACAGCTTCAATGACCGCTGCTACAAGTATGTTTCCTCTCGCATGACCTGGGGTGAAGCAGAGCTCCACTGTGTGTCGGAGGAGGCCAACTTGGTATCCATCCACAGCCAAGAGGAACATAATTTTGTCAATTACCTGATCAAGAACTTCAACCCTACTGAGGAATTCACCTGGATTGGACTCACCGATGTTCATAAAGAAGGAGCTTGGATGTGGTCTGATGGGTCAAAATATACATTTTTTAATTGGGGTGAAAAAGAGCCCAACAATAGTGGTGGACATGAACACTGCGGACACACCAACTTAGGTCCAAACTTTAAATGGAATGATTATCGATGCTCAGAGCCAAAGCCCTTTGTTTGTGCATCTCGTCTTTGTCCTTAGCAACAGAAAAAATGTATAATACTTTTCTGTGACTTCTTCTAATGTTCTATGGTTGTTAAAATCTTTTTCTCCCTACAACATCCAAGAAAAAGCTGAATCACGGGTAATGTTTGGGTGCTTATCTTATACTTTTTAACATATGTATCCAACTGTGTAGGATAAAATGATCTGTTATAAAGGTGTTATATCAAAATGTTCAAAGTTAATTTTTATAATGCTTCCATTACAAATAACATATAACAGAAATAAATGTACATATATACCTATTTTAATTAAGACATATGAAAAAGCAAAAGGGAGATAACATTGATTAGTGGTTTGGGAATCTAAATATCCTTGGTTCCACTGGAGAGGAGCCTGTTGACTAAAAGATCTGCCTCCCATACTACTTTTAGAAATTCTAGGACCCACTAGTCAACCTGCAGATTGAGAACAAAGTAGTCCGTTAGGAACATAAGGTACAATCATATCCCTGATATAAAAATTTAGCTTGGCATTTTAAGGCTTTATATGTGACAAGGAGGATTTTAAATTCTATCCTGGATTTAACAGGAAATCGGTGAGGAGAAGCTAAGATAAGAGCGATATAATCTTTCTTTTTTATTTTCATCAGATCTCTGACTGAAGCATTTTGGATTAGCTGAAGGCTTATAACTACAGCTTGTGAATTGTAGGACATGCAGATCATATTTTAATAACCAAATTGTGCAAATTCATGGGTGGATGATATACAAATGTAACATCTACCAAGTAAAACATTTTTATTTTAAATCTGAAACTTAATCGTAAACACAGTTTCTGCTCTATTTTATTACTTCGAAACGGCACAAGCAAAAATACCTGCGGCCACAGTTATGGCATTATTACAATGATAGAAGATGGACAGAGATTCTGTAAGCAACATACTCGGACAGCTAAAAATAACACTAGAAGAATAATATTAATAAATCCAAAAAAAGGTGTAAAAAAAAAATCACTGAAAAAAAATTAGTCAGTTATGTGAGCACAACTATAAGGATAACAATATAAATCCATGACAAAGAAAAGATCAATTGAAGTTGCTATACGATGATTGAGTTTTTTTCTTTCTTTTTTTTTCATATACAGTTTTTGAGAACATCCAGTGAGAGATTTTTTAAGCTGCAAAGCATCAGGAAAAGCGTTCTGTGCTGTTAAATTAGCCACTAAAGGGCAGCAGAAGGGCAATAATTCTATCAAACATGAAAGGGACAAGAATGTGTGACAATAGTTGAATAAACTTTTGGGTCTTAAAATCGTATCGGTGCCCTATTTGTTGGTACTTGCCGATACTGGTACCATTTTAATTCTGGGCCCTGCCCGATACTGGTATAGGTATCGGTGCAACACTAATTAAAGCCCCAGTGTGTAAAATTTCCTCACAGGCCTACCATCTAGTGGTGAGCTAAATCATTTTCAATTTCAGTGATAACTATGACATAAGGCATGGAGTGTCATAAATGTGACGATCAACCTCGTGCACAAGTTCAACTGTTCTGTGAACAGATGAGGAACAGAATAATGTTGTTATTGATGGCAATAAGGTAAAAGTATTTACCCCATTAAGTAACATGCACTACAGTACAACAGCTCAATGTAATTGCACTTCAATTGTTTGAAATATCTCAGTAAGTGTAACATGTTCTGGGCTTCACCAGTGGTTATTAATAAAAGCGGCCACACCCCCTCTCCTCTCATTGGTATTGTATGTGCTGTGGTCTCTGATGAGCTTGTGGCCCAACTTTCGTAAAATGTCTGCTGTCCTATTGAAAGCCAAAATGCACATCAAAACCGTCCTCTGAGGAGCCGAGATGGATATTAAAGTGCCCCCTTGGCAGCCAAAAGTTGAGGATGCGCTATATGACCTCAAAACAAGTCTGTTCCTGCTTCTGGTACTCTCACCATTTATATTTACTCTCTACACTTCTGACTTCTAGTGCAAGGCAGAGTCCTCTCATCTGCAGTAATGCTATGATGCCTCTGCAATCATGTGCATTAGAGATAGAGAAGCTGACAACAGGGAGCTGGTGAATCATTTTATGGCATTGATTGGAACCAGTCAACTGATACTGGATGTGAAACAGGAGCAATTTGAACATTGTTAACATCATGGTAGAAGAAGTGGAGGTGTTGAAGGCGTATAAACACCTTGATCGTCACCTGGACAGCACAACTGGAGACACTACTGTGAAGTCATCTGAAAGGCTGGACAGAGAAGATTATACTTTAGGAAGCTCAGGTCCTTCAGTGTTTGCAGCAAGATGGTGCATATGTTCTATAAGTTGTTGTGCAGAGTGTCATCTATTATCCCATCATCTGCTGTGGTAAAAGCATGGTAAATGGCCTGTACTTATATACAACCTTTTTAAGTCAGGGGACCTGACCAAAGCATTCTCACTACATTCAGACATTCACACACATACTGATGGTGGCAAACTACATTGAAGCCACAGCTGCAGTAGGGCTCATTGACACATGATCGCTGTCGTACATAGACGCTTCTGGGCCCTCTGACTATCATCAGTCAGCAATGTGGGTGAAGTGTTTTGCCCAAGCTGATAAAGAAGGTTGGCTCTGTTCTACGAACTCCTGTACAACCTCTTGGGATGATTTTACAAAGAAGAATTCTTCATAAAGATACAAACGTTATCGACAACAGTGAGCATCCATCCTAGTGTCTTCAGTCAAATGCTTCTGTGTTGCAAGAAAGATTGCTACAGAAGATCCTACCTGCCTACAGCCATTAACATATTCAACAACTTTTATGAAATAAAAAAGCCATTAAGTGGCAACATTTTTTTTCCTTTGGGATTAATAAAGTATTTTTCTTAAGTGAATTAACTTTTTTGTTGTAATTGACCCAGTTTCCAACTATCTAGGTCAAAGCAGTTAATCCAGTAAATCTATTATGCTGTAATAAATAGATAGTGTTACACATAAAAACATGACAATAAAGATTAACTGCAGAGCTGATCAATGTGTAACGTTGTCCTTGGTGTTTTCCCAATGTTCCAGATGGTGTTCATTTGCACTTCCTCCACCTTTGAGATTAATGACTTCAAATTCCAACTGAAGAACACATACTTTAGTCTCCGTATTATAAATCAGACTTAGAATTAGACAAACTTCACCGTCATGTTCTATTCACAGAGTATATCCAAAATGAAATGTCGATGCATACAGCTTTTCAACAGCGAATGAGCAGCTTAGCAGAGAAATGAACATTTCAATTTAGAACATTTCCATTAAATGCAGCAGTGATCAGAATGTAAACAGTGAAGAAGAAAAGGAAAACCAGTTTATAGACGTGGTGCAAAAGGCATTGTTATGGAAAGATTCAGTGCAGTGAAAATAAATAAATATGGTGCAAAATGCAGAAGAACATTGAGTTGTGTTCTATTTAAATTGATTATGAAAAAATCTGACATGTTGGTAGTGCAAATATGATGTTTACAAGTGTAATGCAGAGTCTTGATTAGAGTCTGATAGCAGTGGGGAAAAAGCTGTACCAGAATTTGTAAGTCATGCAGCAAATGCTGCAAAGTCTCTCTCTAGAGGGCAGCAGGGCGAACAGTCCATGGTGGCGGTGTGAGCGGTCGCTGAGGATGTATCACAGTAGAGTTTAAGTTGCACCAGATTCTTCATCGGTTATACATATAAGAATAAAACATAGATATGTTATACTTGAGTATTGGAAGCATGGAAACCTCAAGTATACTATTTTTACATGAAAAGTTCAGGGAATCAACAACAAATTTCACAACTCATAGCAAACACGTCACCCAGGGTGCTAAAAATATGAAACGTGAAAACGTGTACAACGCCGAGAATGCATTTTTCTTTCTTGCCATTTTGTTCCGGAACTTTTCCGTTTGTCTTGCTAAGTTATCAGTTGTGTTATTTAAAAAACATAAGAAATGTGTCCTGTTGTCTGATTGACCTACAGGGCGGCCGCTATACGACAGTGACCATGATACTAGTTCCTTTCTGCTTACTTTCAAAAATAACAAAAAGGGCCTCTAGGGCCTAAAAATAATCTAAAGAAAAGGTATTTTATTTGCAAAAGTTTGATATAAAAACAATATCAAAACAGGATGAATATCTTGAGTGATGATATTGTATTTCGGAGCCACAAATGAGTTTCAAGGTTTTTCAACAATCACGTCACCAAGCATATTTCATTTATCAACTCATCCTGCTGTGTCTTCTTTTTTCTCTTTTGCTAGGATAATTATAATTGAAAATGTGTGACCAAGCTATGGGTGATACCAGTTCTTAAGCAAATGGTTAAGATACCCTCAGGAGCTCAGCAGATTAGCTGGGTCAAACTTTTATAAACAAGGGTGGAGAGTTAAAATCAATTCCAGTGTGACCTGACCCTGGGTTCTCAGCCTCCTGTTTTTATCCATTTTTATCAGTGTATATAATGCCGTATGGAAACTGCCTAGGCACAAACTGATTAATTTGCATCTCTTTTCATCTTTTCATCTGGTCCTTACTTTCTTTACATGATATATTAATTTCTACTATCTTTACTAATTTTTGTGAATACCATGATTAACTATTGACTAATTGATTAACTGTTTGATTGATTTTTCTTGGTAACAAAACTGAGGAGTCATTTACTTTTGCCCTGCTAGTAGATAGTGACAATGAGGTTGTCAGTGGGCAGGCATTATAATTCAGAGGTCCAGTTAAGGGGAATGAGGAGATTGTTTTGCTTAAATAGGCATAAATATTGGATTAATTTTAGAAACAGGTTAGAACATCATAAAATGTACATTAAAACCATTCTCTGAGGAGCCAAGATGGATGCTAAAGTGCCCTCTGACAGCCAAAAGGTGAGGACATGCTATTTGCCCTCAAAACAAGTCTGTTCCTGCTTCTGGTGCTCTCACCATTTATATTTACTCTCTACAGTTCTGACTTCTAGTGCAAGGTAGAGTAAAATTCTTACAGATTAAATAACTTTAATCACTTTCAATGGAGAGAGGATAAGAATGAAATAAAAATGAAGTCATAAGTTTAGACAAAGCTAAAACTTAACATGCTGTGATGTAAAAAATAGTTTAACATTTTTTCTTTTGGTTGTCCATGAATTAAATGTTACAGTGTGTAAAACAGGGTTAAATGCTTTCTTCATATCTACATGTTCCTTGAATGAGATTATATTAGTTGCTGTAATTTGAGTTTATGTTCACAAAATAATTAGCTTAAACATCCATAAGATGTTCAGGCAGAATACATTCTGTTTTAGATAACTTTCAACTGCCAGGCATTGAAAGGTAGGTTATGTTTTATGTTTTTTTTTTATCAACTCTGAAACAATATGCTGAATAAACACACAGTCTACAGATAATTTAAATGTAATGAATTTAATAATTTAAGGGATAAAGTGAAAGCAATTGTGGATAAGAATATCTGGTTGTGATGGCACTTAGGTTTTGAGTAAAAAACGTATTACTCATTAAAGACACTGCTTATTCTGATAAGAACATTAATTGCACTCTCTTGTGTGCCAGAGGATCCTGGAGGAATGGATTGCTGAACTGTGATGAGAACAGTCCATGAGAACCACCACGTGGATTCAGCATCTATCTGCCTTTGGACAGCATGGAGACCGAAGGGGCTGTGGAGGAGGCCATACGAGACTCTGATTGATTAATTAGATTGATGAGTGATAAAGACACTGAAAGAATTCATCATCATCAGGGATGTTCAACATTTGCCTTTAACTCGATAATTCTTGATTTTACCTAATTGTGATTTATATGTTTGATTTATTATGATTTTGTTTTGATGAAAAACATGGAAACATTTTGGTCCAGACCCACCAAGATCAAGTTTTATGCCACTTTTGCTTTGATTATAGAGAGACTAAGAACCTGATTGGCTAAAAGGTTCTTTAATTAGTTGGTCATGATAATGGCCAGATTAAAAACAGGGTTTTTCTTGCTCAGATTGGCCGAGAGTGGGATTTCCCTGGGGTCACCCCTGGTTTTTACTACGTTTTAGAGAAGGTAGGGTTTTCCTGTGGAGACTACTGTGACTGAATAAGTGGTAAACTTGGATGGATGGTTTATCCATGATGAGCGGTCACATTTAGGAGGCCTCCAGGCAGAAATGAGAGTAGATGAATTTGAAATTATTAGAGTTATAGACTTAGGTTACCTAGTCTAATGTAAATTAAAATAATGTGCACATAGGAAACTAAAACAGCTTCCTTTAATTATTTCCTTTAAGTATTTGTACTTCGTTACTTGACTTCTCTGGTGTGTGTTTGTGTGTCTCGTTTTCCTACAACAGACTGGCTACTTGTCAGGGGTGTACCCCGCCTTTCACTCATACACTGCCGGTGTCACGTCTTGGTTGTAGTTAAGAGGACCCAAAATGCAGAGGCTGAGGTAAATTCTTGTAGTTTTAATGAAAACACTAATAACAGAGGCAAAATCCAAAAATCCAACTAAAATGTAACTCAGACCAGAACCACTGAGACATCAAGGGAAACGTGCACAAGGAGCCAGGGAGAGACGAGTTGAGAGGACAACGGCGACGACAGGACCAGCAACAACAAGGAACCAACAAAGAGTGAGAGCAGAGGGAGAGCATATATAGCTGACAGAGACAAAGGGAGGGCTAACGAGCAGACAAAGGAGCAGGTGTGAGAGGAGACAACGAAGGAGCCGAGGGGAAAGGAACACACACACACACACACACACACGAGGGCAACAGAGGACAACAGAAAAACATGAGAACTAACATAAATGTAGAAATTACAACAAAACTGGAATTAAACCAATAAAACTAGAAAACAAGGAGCAAAGTAAAGTACAACAGAACCAAGACCATGAGAGACCGGAGAGCATTGGCCCCACTGTTACCCTGACGGAATAAGTGGGAGAAGATGGAGGGATGAACTTCATTGAAAAATGTATTGTCCAAAGAAAGAACTCAGGTGAAACACTTAAATCTTTAAGCATGACAATATGTAATCCTTATTTCTTAATGTTTAAATGAATAGAATAAGTTACATCTGAGTCAGTGTAATATTCTCCATATTTCTCCAATGATGTATTGGACAAAAAAACACAGAAATACAGAATTTTAATTTCGGCATTTAGAAAAAAAAATCACATAAACACAATGATTCATTTAACATTGATGGTCATGTTAAAGTGCAGACAAGCTATACAGACATTAAAAGCAGCAGTGACATTTCTAGATATTTGCCTTTATTTCAGATTTAATATTTCTAGTTTTGATGCTTTTCAAGACTAAGCACAAACTGTACGAGATTCACAGACAAAAGCATATGTTACTGAGCATGAAACATCATTCCAGTAAAATTGGTCTCCATGATTGGTGTGTCCACAGTGCTCACTTCCACTGCCGTTATCAGGCTGTCCCTGATTCCAAAAGGAGAAATTATATTTAGACCCATCAGACCATATCCAACCGCCCTCTCGATGAATATCAGTGAGTCCAATCCAGGCCCGTTGCTGAGTAGGATCAAAGTTCTTTACCAGAAAGTTGACAAAATTGTGTTCCTCCAGACTGTGGATGGACACCAGGTTGGCCCCCTCTGATACACATAGGAGCTCTGCTTCACCCCACGTCACCCTTGAGCCAAAGTACTTGTAACAGCGGCCCTTGAAACCGAACCAGAACATGGGACAGCCAGCGCGCACCAACTTCAGTTCCTGTCCGCCTGAGGAGGGTTCAGCAGCCAGGGTCAGAGCAAGCAAGAAAAGGAACAGCATCATCTTGGAAAGTGATGTCATTACGTTGGAGAGTTTCTCAATTCTTGCTGGTGCTGAATTCTTCTGGAGTGATAGATTTTAAAGAGGCATATGTACAGACATATGAAAAGCTTCTTTCTTTTATATCCCTTGGAAAGGGCGTCTACAGTGTGGGTGTGATCTGATTGGTAAATGTTCTACTTACTTAACATGTTCTTCTGTACAGAAAAGAGCAGTTCTTGTATATCTGTTAAAAAGTAGCAGCTTATTTAAAAACATATAAAAACATGTTAAACCCCTATATCCATCTTTAAATACAACTTTCTTTTCAGGATCTTGTAGGCGTTAGTGTCTCTCTTGAGCAGTCTTTAAGGAGACACCTGGGAGAGGCTGCCAGTCCAGTGCAAGGCTGCTTAAATGCAGGTAACACATTTGAATTTTCACACAAAACTAAACAAGCAGCAACATTATTTCTGTTTTAATCCTATTAAAAAAGAAGTTATGGAACAATGCAACTGTTCCGTGTTTCATGGTCTATTTTACAGTAATTTGTATGCTTTGTTCCTGTTAATGATACACATAGTAGCTTTATCTTTTCTTGTTCCACTATAAGGACTCAAAAGTCCAGAGAGCCATATATTTTGTAAAGTACACAGTGGCCAATAAAGATAAGCCAGCACACATATCATGTAATAAGCCTATTGTTTCATTTAATAGCTAAAGGAGCCATAACCTAGTATTTTACATATCCTCATGAAATTATCTTTGAACCCATGCTCAATAATTATTAGGAGAAAAAAATATAATGAGCTGTTTTGGACCCCTGTTCATACTACTCCTCATAAGAGTATGCCAGTGAAATGAACTTGTGTGCATGTTTGCCATGGCTCGTTTACCATGGTTTTCGAGTCTCTTACAAAATAGATAAAAACTTACACAATGAAAAGGTCAAATTTGTGGCTGAACAGGGTTTTGAGCTGGTACATGCCTGTTTACATCCAAGCATTGGTGGATCAAAACTATCATATGTGTTGATTTAGGTTAAAATGTCTTATGTCAGGTTTTGCTTTCTAGATATAGCATGTGCATACTGTGCGTTGTTTTATAAAATTGTTGTCATTGCATATTTTTATAAAAACAACAAATATCAGAACAGCTCAGACCACATAGAAAATATCAAAATAAATCTTCATTTTTTTCAAGTTGGAATGGTGATCATTGATCACTTGTAAAACACAATTAAAGTTACACTTAAATTAAATAAAAGATGTAAAACGTAAATACAAGGCACAGTAGCAACCTATGAACAAGATTTCTTTTACCACAGCCACATTATTTATATAGCACAATTAATAACAAAAATTTTTCCAATATGCTATACACAAAAACAAACAAAAAACCCAACACACACACAAAAAAGCAAGAAGAGTGTAAAATGAAGGACACAGAGGACCACACTATTATGTGGTGTTAGAAGCCAAAATGTAAAAGTGGGTCTTAAGACGAGAGTTAAAACACTCCACTGTGGAGGCTGTTTGTCTATGAAGGGGCAATGTAACGTAAGCCTCATCTTAAGCAGGGTAATGTATTGAGGAGCCATACAATTCAAAGCTCTAAACACAAACAATAAAATCCTAAAATGAATTCTAAGATGAACTGGGAGCCGATGCCGAGACACAAGAATTAGTGTAATGTGTTGATGCTCTCTTGTCCCTGTTAAAAGATGAGCCACTGCGTTTTGGACTAACTGCAGACGAGAGAGAGCTTGTTGGCTCTTGGATAAAAGAAGGAGATGATATAAACGCTGTTTGTCTGTCCAGTTTAAAATCACTGTCCATGGTGACACTAAGGCTGGTTATTTTGGAACGTGCAAAATCGTCCCAAGTCAGAGATCGCACTGCCAAACACCATCACATCACTTAGTTTCAGAATTTTTTTTCATAACAAGTCCTTGACGTCACCCAGCCAGTCCAGTAAGGAGGTCAGGGGGCAGTGGCTGTTTTAAGCAATTGGCAAATAAATTTGACAATAGTTTGCATAGACATCATGCGTCACTCTTTCCAGCTCCTAATTATCATTCATCTCATCCACCTGCCAGTTTCCCTACTATTGGGCTCAGTTCCAGCTATCATGGCCAGATCATTTTGTTTTCTGTTCATTCAGTCTGTCTGTTAAGTTTATGCCATGGTTCATGTCCTGGATCCTGGCGGCCAGTGGAAAGAGGGTTTTTGTGTCTGTCTCGTCTCCTGCTTGTCCACTGTTCCTCCCCTGCTGAGTCCTTTGGGTTTTTGCCTCTATACACGGGGAGGATCAATTCTTATTCCAGTAAGCCTGGCTCCAAGCTGGAGATCAGTTTAAAGGTCCTGCTGAAGTTCTGGTTCCATGTCCTGTCTCGGCTACCCCGTTCGACTGAGCCTGCCCGTCTGCACCTGATCCTGTCTGCTCCTGTGCGTGTCCGTTTGGCAGAGATGGCAAAAGTACTCACTTTCTGTACTTGAGTAAAAGTACAAATACTTGTGTTAAAAAATACTCTGGTAAAAGTGGAAGTACTGATAAAACTTCTTTACTCAAGCAAAAGTAACAAAGTACAGGCTTGTAAATTTACTTAAAGTATAAAAGTAAAAGTAGAAACCACTTTTTTCATGCCGTTGCCTACATTTTAAATGGATGTCTGCGAATAGGACTAGATCTCTGTTGTGTTCATTTTCAATCATCTCGTCGTCCATACTACTATGATAACGCCACCGCCATTAAGCTGCAAAGATTTGCCGCGAATGAATACCGCCGAATCTGTCGATTCATCTTGTAGTGGTGCGTCAAATGCAACATAGATTCCCATCCAATAAGATTGAATTTGGTATTGATGGCGTGAAAAATAATAACGGTAAATCCATTGAAATTATTCAAAACTAAAGTAACGAGCCAATTTCTTAAAATGTTAGGAGTAGAAAGTACAGATATTTGTGTAAAAATGTAAGGAGTAGAAGTAAAAAGCCGCCATAAAAATAAGTAGTGAAGTAAAGTAAAAATATCAGAAAAATCTACTTGAGTACAGTAACGAAGTATTTGTACTTCGTTACTGCCCATCTCTGCCGCTTGGTCACGCTTCTGGACTCTGAACTTGCCTCGGAGCTCTAGGATGCCTGGAACCCTGGATCCTGCCTGTTCTGTCTGATCCTGCAAGTCCTCTGGGACTGCTGCACCGGGGACACTCTGAGTAACGCATGCCGTGTCTGTCTTCAGTCCAGCGGCTGGATTGCGCCCCTTTCCAGGGAGATGGACTGGACTGTTGAACCAGGTAAGTGACTCACTGAGATCATCATCTTCTTTCAGATGATTGTGGTCACTTACCTGTGTTACTCCCACCAGAGTGTCTAAGATTGGGGCGGTGCCCCGCCCCCCTTCTGCAGCATCCACGAGCCGCAGATCCTAGCAGCTCCACTTTAGTTTTGTTTGTTTTCATCTAATAAATGTTTTGAACTTTACTGTCTCACCTTGTATACTGGGTCCATCTGTCCCACTTAATGACAGGAAATTGGTCAATAATTAGAAAGAATCATGGCATCAAAACTATTTTTTTATCAGTGGTTCAACAGCTTCTTTTTTACAGAAAGAAGGCACAGTTGCAAAAGACAGACTGCTGTTAGTTATCTCACCAACAACCAGGCTTATAGTGTCCCAAGCCTCCATAAAAATTAAGGAGGGACAGGGCCAGTGGAAGGAGGGAAGAAAGATTTTAGCTTTAGAATAATTTCTGTCAAAACAGCTGTGGGCGCTCCTCGCCTCCAAGTCCCATCAGCAGGTGCTCCTAGCCTCCAAGTCCCATCAGTGGGTGCTCTTCGCCTCTTGGTCATGGGGTTCTTAAGTAAAGGTTTTATTACAGCTACCTTCCTTTGTCATGATCCTGGCACTGGTGGCTGGCTTGATTGCTCATTCCACTCACCTGTTTAACTCTGCCGGGTTTCTCATTACTGCTACAGAAGATCCTACCTGCCTACAGCCATTAACATATTCAACAACTTTTATGGGGAAAAAAAGCCATGGAGTATTAACATTTATTTTTGCTTTGGGATTAATAAAGTTTTTTTTTTTTAAGTGAATGATTTTTTTTTTTGTAATTGACCCAGTTTCCAACTATCTAGGTCAAAGCAGTTAAACCAGTAAATTTATTATGCTGTAATAAATAGATATTGTTACACATAAAAACATGACAATACTGCAGAGCTGATCAATGTGTAACGTTGTCCTTGGTGTTTTCCCAACGTTCCAGATGGTGTTCATTTGCACTTCCTCCACCTTTGAGATTAATAACTTCAAATTCCTACTGACGAACACATACGTTAGTATCCGTATTATAAATCAGACTTAGAATTACACAATCTTTACTGTCATGTTCTATTCACAGAGTATATACAAAATGAAATTTCGATGCATACAGCTTTTCAACAGCGAATGAGCAGCTTAGCAGTGAAATTAACATTTCAATTTAGAACATTTCCATTAAGTGCAGAAGTGATCAGAATGTAAACAGGGAAGGAGAAAAGGAAAACCAGTTTATAGACATGGTGCAAAAGGCATTGTTATGGAAAGGTTCAGTGCAGTGAAAATAAATAAATATGGTGCAAAATTCAGAAGAACATTGAGTTGTGTTCTATTTAAATAGATTATGAAAAAATCTGACATGTTGATAGTGCAAATATGATGTTTACAAGTGTAATGAAGAGTCTTGATTAGAGTCTGATAGCAGTGAGGAAAAAGGTGTACCAGAATTTGCAAGTCATGCAGCAAATGCTGCAAAGCCTCTCTCCAGAGGGCAGTAGGGAGAACGGCCCATGGTGGGGGTGTGAGGGACACTGAGGATGTATCACAGTAGAGTTAAAGTTGCACCAGATTCTTCCTTGGTTATATATAAGAATAAAACATAGATAAGTTATACTCAAGTATTGGAAGCATGGAAAATTCAAGTATACTATTTTTACATGAAAAGTTCAGGGAAGCAACAACAAATTTCACTACTCACAGCAAACACATCACCCAGGGTGCTAAAAATATGAAACGTGAAAACGTGTAGTATGCGTAGAATGCATTTTTCTTTCTTGCCCTTTTTTGCGG